GCCACTAACATTGGACACCCTCGTCTCTGCACAACACAGCTACGGTGGGAACACATATTTTTAGCTGTCCCGGTGCGGAAAGCCCTAGTAGCCGTGACCGCTACCTCTACAGCTAGCCAACCTCCAGTCACCGGGTGGCTACATGCTAACGCTAGCATTGGACCGCTCTCCTTCTTTTCGTCTCTTCGCCTTCATTCCACTGACTCTCGCAAAATCACTGATTGTCAACAGAAACTTCGCTACTCACCCCGATCACCTCACATGTGTGCTTTCCTGCTGTCTGACATTAATCCTCTCAAGAGGTTCGTTGTGAGCTGCATCCTTCCCGGCCGACATGACTGTCATACTCCATCGCGGAACTACTCCAGCTAAAGCACACATCCACTCCACCATGCCCGATGATGATCTCCGCCATCAGTCAGCATGGACTGCTACAACGACCCAAATACATTCACCGAAGCTCCGGACGAAAGTTTGTTTACTCCCGGTCCGGTCATTCCATCTCATCCATCTGGTCTGCTGCGCGCACTGATACACCCCCTCAATTTCATCATCACAACAACCAACACGTGCACTCTGCCTGCCTACGCCCCCTTCCCCAAGCGCCCAAACTCAACCTCATCTTAAACTTGCTCTGTTTAACACCCGGTCTCTAAACAACAAGGGTCTCATTCTCAATGAATTCATCACTGACAATAATCTGGACTTTCTCTGTATCACAGAAACTTGGCAACAACCACAGGAATACTTCTCCCTCAACCAGACAACACCCCCAGGATACACATATATTGAAAAACCACGCCACCATGGGCGTGGAGGTGGAATTGCCACAATTCTAAGAAATAATATAAAAACAATTGCAATAAACATCCCTTGCCCGTCCTCATTTGAACACCTTGCATTTAAACTGTCTGGTCCAAAACCCTTGTTTACAGCAGTCATTTACCATCCCCCCAAACCAAACCCTGCTTTCTTCTCGGATCTGAATTCCTCACACAACTTTGCTCTATCTCTCCATCTGTATTATTACTTGGTGATTTTAATATTCATGTCGACTCAAACGACTCCAATACCGCTTCAGAACTCCTGGACATACTCAACTGTTTCAATATCACACAACATGTTGATTTTCCCACCCATAAAAAAGGTCACACATTGGACCTGATCTGCACCACTGGCATCGCCATCAGCCACCTGACCACCTATGACCTCACCATCTCCGATCACCTGGCCATCATCATGGACATCCTAACCCCAACCCCCCTCATCAAGCAGAAGTGCACCATACAATTCCATAATATCAAGTCCATACACCCCTCCTCCCTCTCCTCCCTACTGGCTGACACCATCCCTGACTCCACCGTCACCCAGAATGTTTCCCCTACTGACCTGGTCAACACCTACAACAATGCTCTCTCCTCCTGTCTCAACCAACTCGCTCCAATAAAAACCAAGTATGTCTCTTTCACTCACTCGGCCCCCTGGTACACCGATCATCTCCGTTGCCTCAAAACGAAAGGTCGCCAGCTCGAAAGACATGCTAAACAAACTGGTCTCACTATCCACAAAGACATTTATAGACTGCACCAACAGCAGTACAAAGATGCCCTCAACAGTGCACGCTCCTTCCACTACTACTCTGTAATACAATCTGGCAGCAATAACCCAAAGTCCCTTTTTTCAACTATTAACAAGCTCCTCAACCCAATGGATAATATCTCCAACTCCTTCACCACCTCAAAGTGTGAATCCTTCCTCTCATTCCTCCAAAGCAAAATTGAAATAATACACAGCAACATAGCCAACTCCTCCGTCTCGTCCACCACCCATCCTTTTCCGGAACCTGCCTACCCTCCTCCATCGAGGCACCCTCTTACAGCCTTCAGACAAATTACCTCACTGGACATAGTTGCCCAAGTCACCGGCATGAATACCTCAACTTCCATCCTGGACCCCATGCCCTCCACCCTTGTCAAGGCCTGCCTCCCCCAACTCACTCATCTTATCACCACAGTCATTAACTCCTCTCTGTCCACTGGACTCGTCCCCCCTGATCTGAAACTCGCTGCTGTCACTCCCATACTCAAAAAACCTGGTCTCAACCCTGATTCCCCTCAATAACTACCGGCCCATCTCTAACCTCCCAGTCCTGTCAACAATTCTGGAGCGAACTGTTGCCTCCCAACTAAAATCCCATCTGGACTGCAATAACCTTCATGAATCTTTTCAATCTGGTTTCCGTACTCGCCACAGCACAGAATCTGCCCTACTCAAGGTGACCAATGACATTCTCCTCTCTGCTGACTCTGGTTCCCTCTCAATTCTCATTCTCCTTGACCTAACAGCCGCATTTGACACGATCAACCATTCCATCCTCATCAACCGCCTCCAGTCTTCCATTGGCATTACCGGTACTGCCCTCTCCTGGTTTAAATCCTATCTCTCTGACAGACATCAATTAATTAATCTCCATTAACAACTCCAAATCCCCCACAGCCCCCGTCAATCATGGCATCCCTCAGGGTTCTGTACTTGGTCCCCTTCTGTTCATCATCTACATCCATATTTTGTTTTACTTGCTTGTAAGCGCTTTGAGCACCAGGGAAAGCGCTTTATAAATGTAATGTATTATTATTATTATTACACAGTACGCTAATAACATTAGATGTTTGTGTTCTTTTGTCCTGTTAGTGTTTACTTCCTGTCTGTCTTCTGGTCATTTCTGTGGGTCAGCTTTCTGCGTCTCCTAAACTCTTTCCTTCTCTTGCGCTGTTTTCTTTTTCTTCTCTTTTTAATTTCTTCCCTAAGGACAGTTTGGCAATGTTTTCTCTACATTTCTGATGGAGGATAAAAAACGTGTTTTTTGCCCACAACTAACATTACATTTAACAGACTTCTTTCTTCATCGATATGACTGCACATGCGACAGTTAGCGGCGGTCTGATATTGCAAAAGAACACAGTTGAATTTGTCTGAGTTTACCAATCATACTCAAGTATTCAACTAAGCCATGTCCTAAAATAACTTAAACTAGTTTATCCCCCCTATTCCTCCTTTTGATTCCTCCTTTGTATGCGTCTTGTCAGGAATCCTGCTGTCAAGTAATCCCCCAAAACCGTTTCTTATTTTAAAGACAAATGGCAAGTTAGGAACCCTAACTTATAATATCTATAACCGAGACAATTACTCTTGGAAGCACCCCCAAAATTGTAATATAGTACAATCTAAGTGAATTACATGGATTTGGTTCAGGAAGAACCATGGCTCTACCATAGCTGTCACTACTAGAACTACATCTGCCACTGCTATTATTACTGGGATCATACCTGGATATGATACACTGAATAATGAACACAGACTGAGGCGAGTTTGTCACTATGACAACTGCTCAGACTGCCACCAGGTGCCCCTTCCAATACTATTAATCTCAGTCCACCATTCGAGTGAGTTATGAAAGTTATCTCTTTTATATGGACTCTTATTCTGGCTACATACAATACATTCTGGTGTTAGCAGTGTTGTTAAAATAACTGTAGTTGTAATTCCAGTCCCTGTCTTTTTATTTTTGTCAGTAGATTTGCGTAGGAGTGTGACTAACTGTTTATCCAGAACCATAATGACCCTTCTGCAACAAAGCTAAATGAACAGGTTTGATCTTAACTTGCAAAAGTACCCTGAAGTTCTTAAATAACTCTCAAAATAGCTTATTGGCTCTTAAGAGTCCAAATGATATTTAATAGAATATATTGTGGCTCTTTCATTTCAGATTGAACAAACATTCAATAAGATACAGGATGTGAAGACAATGAGTTTCAGTGTCAATATCAGGTTGTTCGTTCAGCCTGTTCCCTTAATTTTTAGATTGGTGAAGTGTCAAAGAGAAGAACAAGAAGAAATAGAAGGAGGAAATGCTGATGTTCTTTCATTTCAAATATTTAAGTGTTTCTAGAGCTGTTGAAAGTGAAATGTTTCCATGTTATTCTACAGTTAAACTGTTTGTTGGAGAAAAGCATGTTGTCCTAACTCGACTTAATTGATTGCATATGTGTGAATGTGAATATATGTGAATATTTGTTCAGATATAAGATGTATGGAGATTTTTCTTAAAGATGATTATTTTCTGTAAAAACTGGCCTGTTTACTTTCAGAAAACGAATGAATGAGGAGCAAATGTGCTATTATGATGATATACTTCAGAAACGCATCAAATCATGTAAAACCATATACACAGAGATAAATAAAGATTATTAATGAGAAAAAATCCCCGACCAAAACCCCTCAGCTTCTTGTCGGCTCACCATGAAGAGATTTGATGGTTGTTTATTACACAGCTACTAAAATAATCCATTGACATGCAATATAGATACAAATATAATTGTATTGTCTCCCGCGTTCTGTGTCTTTTAACCTCTTTCCTTCTCTTGTGCTGTTTCCTTGTTGGCGTAATACTATTCATGGTAAATATTTATGGTTGATGAGACAGTTGCATATTCTTTGAAATTAATTAAAAAACATTTGATAATATCGAGTTATAATTACACAGTTTTTGTATAGTTTTGTATATTTCTCGACTGTGCAAGGTTTATGACTGTTTACCAGCTAGTTTCCTTCCGTAAAACACACTATAGTGCGCAAGAGTTTGAATTGACTGTTTTTGACAACGTTTTTGACTGGACGCGTCCGCACGCCTGATGGCATTTGTACTTGTATTTATTTATTATATGCAGTTTAAAGTGTTTTAAGTCGCTAGTGGACGGCCAAGGGATCTAGGGAATTTACATGACTAAAACTCTCAAGACGTACCTGAAGACGTACCCGTGAGTACATGGTATTCATTAAAGCGCTTTGTAAGAGAGTCATAGCTCCAAATCGCCTCGTAGGCTAAGTGTCCTTGGAACTTTGTATTTTTGATAATCGGCCACAACAATAATGATAAATAAGACATTAGCCGAGTAAAGAAAGACAGAACACAATATAAATAAAATACTGATGAACCCTACCTTGACCTCAATGAAGTCCGGCTGCCCCAAAGAAATGAGCTCCGAGTATGCCTGCATCTCCTCCACATTCCAGGCCTTCACCAGCGTCAGCCTGTACACCGTCCTCTGTCTCTGGAGGGAGGAACAGCGTTTAGGATTAATTGAAATGTTCGAGGATAAACATGAGATTGTTGTACTAATAGTTTGTTGCATATTAAATGTATTATGGGTCTACCTTCCTTTACTTCAGGGGTGGGGAACCTCCGGCCTCTGGGCCGTATACGGACCGGGAGACCATTTGGTACCCTCGAGGTAATTTATAAACACACGCAAAAAAGAAAAAAATTAATCAAGCGAGTGCCTGTTTTTCCTGGCCAAGGTCAGGGTCCTTGAACACAACACAAGCCTAACGTGTCATCACGTGGTATATGTCTCGTCTGACAGGGGTGCAGTTCTGCCGGAGAGCACCAGAACGCCGCTCCGGCACTTCAGAAATTGCAGTACCCATAAGGAGCCGTACACATGCCGCTGTTTTTGCGTGGCTGTGTTTTTAGTTGTAAGCCCAGTGGTGATCTGTTCATCTGTCATACAGTCAATAACTTTGTTGTTATTAGCATCTGGTTAGCTAGCTATGCTAACGAATATAAGAAGCTTTTTCTACAACCAGTGAGGTAAAGGCACATCTTTATATGATCATTATAGTTATAACAAAATAAGAGAATAAAGTAAACAGGTATAAAATACTATATGACAGTAAAAAAAAGTTGTTATTAATAAACAAGAATACAGTTTAAAAGGGGAGTGATTTGTAAAATATCCATAAAGAAAAATAAAATCTGTTTACAGTTCTGTTTCATATGGATGTTGAGAGATGTATCCATAGATCTCCTAATGTTGCTCTCAAAGTGCACCAGATTGATGCTTTTAACTTCAACATTTAAAAAAAACATGGGTGGAGCATCTACCCCCGTAGAGGAGGTCAGGCCTCCCCCCCCCCACACTTAAATCATGTTCACATGCAGTGGCGGCTGGTGGAAAATATTTTAGGTGGGGCTGTGGAAATGGTGACCAAACAATACTAGGGTGGTCCGGGGAGATGCTCCCCCGGTAAAAAAAAATGGAGAACTGACCCCTTAAATGATGACTTCTGGTGATGTTAGAGGGGGACAAATTGAGGCTTAAAAATATGAGAAGACTGATCAATACCTCCATAATCTTCAGTGTGGTTAGCTATGAATCTTCCAAAACACCTTGTCCTGGACATAGTTTCTACAGTATAAACTGTGCAACAGTACAGTAGGCCCACACAAACTGCAGAACACCGGGGCTTTGGGAACACTCAAATTATTTAATTCCCATTTAACCTGTTAAGGGGCTTTTCCCCCCCGTTTTTTTTCTCACGAAACTGTGTCTCAGGCAGGGGTGGTTCTAGGGGGGTGCCCCCCTAACACTGACCTTTGACCCCCCTGTGGCCCCCCTAAAAATGAAAAGTGAAAAAAATGAAAAATGTATGATTTATTACACGATTTATTGAATGACGGAATAGGCGGAACTAACGTTATTCGTCATTCTAGTCGGACCCATTAGAGCGGTGCACTCAGGACCCATTAGAGCGGTGCACTCACTTTCACTGTCCGGCTGAAGCACGCGAAAAACAAACACTTTTCATCTCGGATCATCAGAGGCTGTTGCATCCAAGAAAGACTGATTGAAACCTACGTTTCGAGAGACTACCACGATAATTGAAGGTGAGTTAAACTATTGTATCCGTGTAATTGTAGATGTAAAGTAGAGATGTAACTGTTCATTGCCTTTATTTTTATATAAATATGATATGGTGTTAGTGCAAAAATTGTACTATAACTTAAGCTGAAGCTAACAGTAATAACTATAAGATATATCTGAAATAAATAAGTGTACTGAAACAAATATCAATAACTGTATTGCATTGTTTTCTTATACGCAATTACTTCATACTGTCTAGTTATCTTTTTCGTCCTGCATTTATTGTGCCCCCCTCAAAAAATAACTGGCCCCCCAGTGGCCCCCCCAGTCAAATTGGTCTAGAACCGCCACTGGTCTCAGGGCTTCTTAAAATGTAATAAACTATTAATGTGTCATACTAATTTAACTGGAAGAAACTCAAATCACTGATGATATGAACCATTTTTACCGAAATAAAACACAAGTCTCTAGCTAACCTTTTGCTAAATGAGCCCTGAGCGAAAAAAGGCTAACGCACTCTTTGTATAAATCGATCGATATACTTATTGGATATGCACAAACAAGCTTATGCTAACAAGCTGAGATTCCACAGATTCTAGAAATATAAGTATCATCACTGAGCGATCAGAACTTGCGACAGGGGAAGCAAATACAGACATCACACGACGTAGCTTTAGGTAGCAAAACACGGAGATATGCTCACCTTTTGCTGTTATTCTGATCAAAAGTTGTGTTCAATGTCATTAAAACGAGAAAAACGCGGCTGAAGGTTAATCCATAGGTTAATCCAATGTGTCTGTCACTTTGAAAAAATTATTGTTGATCCATAATTCAATTGTTATGTCAAAAACGGAGTTTTCATATTAGCTGCTAATGATAGCTTCCAGAGTGTATGACAGCTCCCTGTTTTGTCTCCTTGGATACGGGTCAAAACAACTCACAGACTGCCTTGGGCCGGGCGCTGAAATTGTAGCCCTTGGACCATCAGATCTGACGACGCTGATTGGCTGAAATTATGTTTTGGCGGCATAGTACTTTTCAGGTAGCAACAGTCAGCACTTGGTTGGCACTTAGGGCTCTTTTCTTACCACCCAGACGAGAGAGGGTAATACACGGGCAAAGATTTCTGCGGCAAGGCAGGAAACAGATGACGTATCAGTAACTTTAGACATCGTAACACAATTTTAAACGAGATCTTATTGTAGATTATACATTTTTCTGATACCAACTATATAATATGTACCTTGTTTATTAAAAATAAAAATGAAAATAAAAAATATATACATTTTTTAAATATATATATTTTTTTTTTAATGACAATCTAAAATGTGGGAAGAGGGGGGGCAGCGCCCCTATAATAATAGGAGGATGTTGAAAAAATGTAAATGGCCATTGAGAGGAAAAAGGTTCCCCACCCCTGCTTTACTTATACCACAATTAGCAAATACATTTTATTTATTTATTGAACAAATGTTCACATATCATGAACACAAAAAAACCCTAATGCAAGATGTGTCCAACAGCCTGGTATTCCTCGACAGACTGAGCCAAAAACACATTTGTGCAACATGTTCATATGAAAATCTGAATGTCTACTTTGGTAAAACACTACACTGTTTTAAACAACAGTTAGATTGTGCTCTGATAAGGTAACTGTTTGTTTGCTGGGTGAGTTGGTCCCATCATTATTTCAAGTGTAACACTTCAACAAATGAAGCAAAGAAATGACTTCACACTTGATTGAAGCTCATACTGTAGTTGTGTTTGGACATTAAAAAGGTCAAAGGGTGTTATCTAAATGGAAGAATTCTCCGTCTGTATTTTCTCAACAACGCTTCATGAGATCCACCTCACGGTATTGCTCCCGACCCAATGAAGCTCAGATAGGAGGCCATGAAATTGAAACGTTCCAAACACTAGTTCCGACAAATCAGGGGGGGAAAAGCATGCAATTCATTATTTGTTGTCTCAATGTTACAATGGCAGTTTGTCACCAACATTGGTCCACTGCACACAAAAGCAGCTCACAGATGTCCTGATAACCACCAACTTACTGTCTGAATTATAACTGAGCAGTTGGGCCTGTTTTAGATTGTTACTAATGCAACTACTGCATTCCAACAGTTCTATAGTTCTGTCTCGGACTGAAGACCTGCCCGTTTCCACTGCACCTTGGCCAAAAATTCAAACAACACAGATAGCACTTAGAAAGGTTAGGTTATGGTACGTACAGGATTCTTGCTTTTTTTAGTTTGTATCTTCAAGGTTAATTGCACTTGTAATCACTTTGGATAAAAGCGTCAGCTAAATGATATGTACCGGTAAACACCTTCAGAGGGAGGGCACCATGTATTGCACAAAATGCCAGCACCTTCAAGTACGGGTGTTGCAGATTAACATTTCCCTAATGTGCAGTTTTTATCATTCCAAATGACATTTGATCATTAAGTTATAGTTTATTCTGAAGTTGTTTTTTTATTATTTGTATTTTATAATATTATATAATAATATTATTATTCAACTTTTAATTTCTGAATTTTCTCAAAGCATTTTTAATGATTAGAAAACTTAAACAATCAAATAAATATAGGATTACACCGACTGGAGAATGTATTAACAGATATGTTATATATGTATTAAGGTCAAGGTCAAGGGGACCTGAGATATCTCTTTTATTAGTTAACTCTCCCTGGGTAAAAAACTGGATGAAAAAGCCCCGCTAGCAGTTCAATGGTGTAGATTCAGGCTATTGTTGTTGCTGTATTGCGGGAGTAAGAGGATTATTGAGAATGTGATAGAGTGGAAGAAAGACACGGAGAGACAGGGGTTTGAAAAAGGGGATAGTGAGGACAGAGGACTTGAGAAATACAAAGAAACAAGTAATTGACAAAGGGAGAGTAGAGAGCACTCTTTCTCTCTCGCTCAGCGGAAGGTTATCTATAACACTCGGCCCTTTCAGCCCAGTAGGGAAGGGGATAATTGGTCAAAGGAAGTGGGAGGTGAGGTATTTCAAGCTGCCCCTGGTTCCGAATACGACACTGAGGCACAACTCTATCAATCCCCGGTGCACTGTCAAGTAGGCCAGGTGGAGGGGAACAGAGAGGGATAAGCACTAAGGAGGGATGGAGATAGAGCCAACCATGAAAGAGGGACTCATGGAGCCGAGACAAAGAGACGGGGAGGGGTTATTGGAACATAAAGAGAGGGTTTATTTTTGGAAACTGGGCACACAGGCAAACCATATTGTCACACTGACATTTACATGTGCAAACACAAGAACGCTCTGGAGCAAATTGAGTCATATTTATAAAAACATGTACTTTTTAATTTTGAGGTTTTAACATAAATATACAACTTTTAGTCATAAAACATTATTTAGATGCAGTGTTGAAAGGAGGAGACGGTGA